GATCTGTGCGTACGATGAGGCGATGGACGCCACCACGCCGAACTGCGGCTTCCAGATGCAGGAGAAGCTGGTGTCCGGCATGTACCTTGGCGAGCTCGCCCGCCGCATGCTTGTGCACCTCGCCGAGCTGCGCTGCCTGCCGGTTGTCCTTGCGTCCGCGATGGCCAAGCCGTGGAGCTTCGAGACGAAGTTTGTGGGCATGTTGTCCGCGGACCGCATGCCAGGGCTGCAGTTCACGCGCGGCGTGATCCGCAAGCTGTTCCGCGTGGACTTGACGAGTGTGGAGGACCTGCACGTGGTCCGCGACGTCTGCTGCCTGGTGCGTGGCCGCGCTGCGCAGATCAGTGCCACGTTCTGTAGTGCGCCGCTCGCGAAGACGCACAAGCAGGGACGCGCGACGGTCGCTGTCGATGGGTCTGTGTACGAGAAGATGCCGTCGTTTCGCCGCCTGCTGCAGGACAATATGAACGCCATTCTCGGTGCTGAGTGCGACGTGACAACGACGCTTGCGAGGGACGGCAGCGGCGTCGGCGCCGCCTTCATCTCCGCGCTGGCCGTGAATGACAAATGAAGTAGCAAAGCAAATTTTTTCTGTATCTGTTTTTTGTAGGTGTTTTTTTTGTAGGACGCCTGGATACCAAAAAATAAAGTAATAAAAATTTTTTAGCGTTTTTTTTGTTTTTAGATTTTTTTTCCTGTTTTTTCTGGGTGTGAGGTTTTGGAATGATTTGTCGTTCTTTCCCGGTGTGTGGGTGTGGGTGTAGGAGACGGTTTATTCCGTCGCGTCGAGGGTAATGAAAGCGGAACTGTTTGTTTACTTTGTTTTTTTTGTTTGTTGTTGTTTTAGTTTTTCTTTCTTTTTTTGTTTAATGCACATTTTTTTTTATGTTGTTGATGTGTTGGAGGAGATGCATGACTGTTTCCCACCTTCCGGTGCTTTGAGGCGAATTCGCCGCGGCGCTGTGGACTCCCGCCGGTTCGTGTGGCTTGCGGGCTTCTTCTTTGCTGGCGCCACTCTGCCTGCCCTCTTTCCCCCCCCCCTCCTCCTCCTCACTCTTCGTTTGAAGGGCTGCGGCTCTTGCGGGGCGCTGCGTGGGGGGTGTTTGCGCCTTGTTTTTGTGCGTGTGGACGTGGCTAGCGAAAGGGCGGCCGGTGTGAGAGTCTATGCGTCGCTCGCTACAGTCCGCGCTGGGCCGCGTTCCGCGGCGCCTGCTGCCGCGGGCGGTGTGCGTGGCGGTCCGTCGGGCGCATGGCGTCTCTGCTGCCGTGGAGCCTGCAGCGCAGCTCGCCCGTGTGATGGAGCTGATGTCGGCGAAAAACTACGACGGAGTCGTGCGCCTCTACGAGGCCTCGTTCCACGCGGACCGCATGTCGTTGCAGGAATTTGCCGGTGGTGCCTGTCAGGCGCGGGACATGGCATTGTGTTTGATGCGCACGTTTACGGCGCTGGGTCGCATGGATCGGGTGCGTGAGGTCTTTGCAGTTGGGCTGCGCGACCTTGCCGGGGGCGGGGGCGGTCGCAACGCGCCTCTCTTGAACACAAGTTTCTTCAACGCCTACTTGGAGGTGCTGACGCAGCGGAAGAACTTTGCGCGGGATGAGGTGATGTTTGTCCTGCGGGAGATGAGGGCGGCGGCGGTCCTCCCTGACGCGCTGACGTATCACTACCTTATTGAGCTGCACATCCGCGCGGGCGTTGATCCGGTTGGGTTGTGGCACGACATGCGCCGTGGGCCGACGATACAGCCGCTGCCGTGCACAGTTCAGGCCCTCCTGCTGCAGGTTGTGCCCTCCTCGCCGGATGCGTCCTTCGTGGTGGATGTCACACGCGAGGCCCTGCGCCACGGCGGCAGCGTGATGGATAAACGGCTGCTTGCTCAGATGATGGAGCAGTGGCTCCGCAACGCGCAGGAGTACCCGCCAGAGTACGTCCTCTGGCTCATGTTTGAACTGGAGCTGCGTTGCGTGCTCGACAAGGCCTCTTTTGTGCAGTTCGTGCAGAAGCAGCACGTGGCGGACCTGCTGCAGCGCTGTGCGAAGTGCGCCGACGCGGACACCGCCGGCAAAGTCCTCGCCATGATGGATCGACATGTCATAACCAAAACAGCGGATGTTCTTAGCCTGGTGGTGTGGTGCTGGGCGCAGGCGTTGGAGCTGGAGAAGGCGTTCGACTTGCTGGAGCTGATGGCCCGAAAAGGGCACCTGGAGCTGACGGACCCGTTTAGGAAGTACACGGTGGACTGTCTGCGGCAGGTGATGGATCGCCACTTCATGATGGCGCTGGCGGACGCCATGAGCACCACGGCGTTGCTAGACCGCGTGCTGCACCACCTGCGGGCGCGCCGCCGTCGTGGGCAAACCGTCTCTGCCCACTCCCTCGACCTCGTCGTGCTGGCCGCCGCAAAGTTGGGCGAGGACCGGCGGGCGATGTTGCTTGTCGCCGACTACATTGCGGGTTGGGGCATCCAGCCACGCACGAACACGTACAACTGCCTGTTGGTCGGGCTCTCGACGCAGCGTGGGGCGTCGCTGCAGCGCATCGTCTACGACGCCATGCTGGAGAACGGCGTGGTGCCAAACGCCTTTACGTTCCGCGTCCTCATCCGGCAGGCCGTGCTCGCGGACAGCATCGATGAGGCGCTTGACTTTCTGCAACGGGTGACCTCCCACGCGGGGCTGCGGGTGGAGGTGGAAATGGTGCTGCCCATCTTGGAGCGCGCCGCCCGCGCCGGGGACGCGGAGACGGTGAACCGCGTGAGCAAATTCGCCCTCGACTGCGACATTGGCATCGACGGCGCGGTGCTGAATGGCGTGGTGAAGCTGCTCGCAGAGGCGGGGCAGGAGGTGGAGGTCATCAAGGGGCACCAGCCTCTGCATGAGGCACTCCGCTCACGCTCCAAGACGGGGCGGCAGCGCGCTCGAAGCGAGATTGCCGCTTAACGCGTTTACATGTATGTCCCCCCACGTTGCAAAGGACGCAGGCGGGGGAGCGCGTCGCGCCGCGTGAAGTGCAATAAAAAGAGGGCCTCATCTTGCCTCTCTCTCTCCTTCTAGTTTCTTCGTTGGTGTGTTCCCTTCACTCCTTCAGCCACTGTTCTCCTGTTCTTCTGCGTGTGCGTGTCTTGGCTGTACGCCGTCTCCGGTGGTTGTGCCGCCACTCCTCTTTTTTTTTTTTCTGGGGAAAGTCGTCTTGTGCTTCGTGTGGGAGGGCCTCACGTGTCGGTCAGTGGGGACCGCAACCCGCACGCACACACAACACACACCCGGGTGCGGGGGGAGCAACAAAGTCGTAAAAGCGGAAGGATATATAAAGAAAAAAAAGAGAGAAGGCGTGAAGGAAGGGCGCAAGGAGAGTCGTTGCCAAGACACACACTTGCGGACAGACAGGCGTGTGCACCAGCGCCGTGCAAACGCGTCGGTGGCAGGGAGGCGGGCGGGGGGGGGGAACAGATACACAGTTTGTGGCCAGACGCATGCAGGAGCTGCGGGTGAACGAGATCGTGAAGGGGCGGTACTCCACCTACCAGCTGCAGGACCTCATCGGCAAGGGCGGGAACGCGGTGGTGTACAGCGCCATTGACCGGAGTACGGGGCTGGTGGTGGCGGTGAAGAAAATTATGGCCTCAGACGACACGGTGATGGCGACGTGGCGCAAGGAGGTTGCCATCATAAGCTCCCTCGAGAACCCGTACATCATCCGCTACATTGACCACGCCCGCTCCGGCAACGCCTTCCTCATCGTCACCGAGTACGCGCAGGGCGGTTCGCTGCTGCAGCAACTCAAGCGGAATGGACGCTTTGGCGAACGGGATGTGGCGCGGTTTGTGTTTCAAATCACCGCCGGACTTGCGTACATTCATGAAAAGAAGTATCTGCATCGCGACCTCAAGTGCGCCAACGTCCTCATTGGAGCCGGCGACGTAGTGAAGCTGTCGGACTTTGGGCTTGCCATGCCGCGTGCCGTGGTGCGGGACGACGCGGCGGCGGCGGCGGCGGCGGCGGCGGCGACGCCGAGCCGAGTGCCGCCGTAAACGTGGAGGAGGGGGTGGTGGGGTCCGTGTACTGGATGGCGCCCGAGACCATCCGCGGGGAGCCGCAGAATGAGAGCAGCGACATTTGGTCCCTTGGCTGCCTCTGCGTGGAGCTGCTGACCGGCAGCCCGCCGTTTTACGACCGCGCCCCCGCGAACGCCCTCTACCACATCGCCCAGTCCGACGAGGTGCCGATTCCGCAGATGGAGCTCTCGGAGGCCTGTGAGAGTTTCCTCAGGGCCTGTCTTGACAGGGACCCGCGGAAGCGCCCCTCCGCCGCTTCGCTGCAGCGACACGCGTGGTTCGGGGGGTTTGTGGCGGAGAACATACTGGAGACGCTGGCGAACACGCAGGCGGCGGACATCAGCGCGGAGCAGGCGGCGGCGAACTCCGCGGCCATCGCGCGGTGGGTGGAGACCAACCTTTTCCAGGAGAAGGCGGAGCAGCGGGAGCAGTGGCTAAAAGGGGGTTGCCTCAAGAAGGTCGTCGCCGTCCTGCCAAAGGTGACCGCGGAGGCGTCGTACCACATCATCCGCAGCTTTTCCTTCGCGGCGCAGCGGTGTCGCAACGAGACGAGCTGCTTTCTCACCCAATTGGGCGAAACCAACCTCTGGGACAGCGCGCAGCTGAGTGTGCTGGGAAAGGCAGACTCGCTCAGCTCACTCTTTATCTGCTGTTGCGAGCGGCAGGATTCGCGGGTGTCGCAGTACGCGCCCACGCACCCAGGGGCGCTCTGCTTTCTCCTGCAGTGTCAAGAGGGCGACGTCGCCGTCGCCTGCATCGATGCGCTGCACCACCTGATGGTCGGCTGTGAGGAGGATGGCTCTTCGACCCCCTTTTCGCTGTCGCAAGAGGTGTCCGCCACGGATGCTGGGCAAATTACATTTCGACGCTTTATCTCGCAGAATCGGTTCGTGACGGATCACGCGGTGTACGCCGTTCAACGCATCATAGAGGAGGCCTGCTGCACCGCCTTCCACGAGGAGAAGGAGCCGCTTATTGGGTGGCAGAGCCTAGACAAGCTTTTCGAGGTGCTTCTGCAGGTGTTTAAAAAGACCGCTGACGAGAGCGTCGTGGTGGGCCCTTCGATGTCGGTGGCGCAGAACGGGGATGGGGTGGAGTCGTCCAACGGGTCCGCCGTCGCCGCGGTGGACAGCGCTGTCGCCATCGCGGATAGTAGTCCCCACGTCTCTGGCGAAGCGGCCGGTCGATGTGTGGTGCCTCGCGGAAGCGGGGTGGGCGGCCCCAGCAACACGAGTGCGGCTGGAGGCATTGGGGAACGGCAGGCGGAAGAAAAGTGGCTGTTGGCCTTGCAGGAGGCAAGTCGTCACTTGTGCCCCAACGCCATTTTGATGCTGCTGCAGTTTGTCCACCACGTCTCGCGGAGTCACCTAAAGTGTCTCAGCGTCGGGGGAAAGAGCATCGCCGGGACCTTCCTCGTCGTCGCGTCCAACGCCTCCATTGACACCGCCACGCGCATTGCGCTGCTCCGGTGTCTCCCCGTGCTGCAGTGTGCGTCACAGAAGGCCGCCGCCTTCATACGGGACACGCGGTGTAGCGTGCCGCTGCTGGCGCACACCGCGAAGAGCATCCCTGTCCTGGAGGAGTCCCGCGAGGACGAGGTGATGAAGGTACTTTTCAACCTCTGCGAGGACGAGCGCATGGCGGCGGCAATTGCCGCCTCCAACGCGTTTCTCAGCATCGCCGTGGATCGCGCCAACCTCGCGGCGGAGCGCCACCGCTGGACGGAGGTGGTGCACGCCGTCCGCTTCATTGAGATTCTGCTGGCGTACTCCGTGGACTCCTCCCGCTTCGTGGAGTCGCGCGGCCTTCTGCAGCTCCTCCTGCGTTTGTCCGACAGCGAAAGTTTCCCCGCCAGCGTTAGCAGCGCGTCCCAGCGGCTGCTCAATAGTGTCCAGGTCCAAACCAATGTTTTGTAGGGTGTGTGCGTGTGCATGTTTTGTTTTATACCACAGTGGGCCACACAATCTCTCTTTCTCTCTTTCTCTCTTGCTTCTTTTTCTTTTGACTCCTTCTGGTTTTTATTTCTTGAGGAATTGGCGGTGAAAAATGCGTCACCGAAGAAAGTGAGCAGGTCCTCTTCGTAACTTGTGTGCCGTGAGTGCGCGGTTGTGTTCGTTGTTTGGCTCCAACTGAGTAGTAGTGGGGAGTGGGGGAGTGGGGGGGGGGGGGCGTAAAGGAGTAAATAGAAAAAAAAGTAAAAGAAAAAGGGAGAGAGGGAGGGAGGGAGAAAAGCGGAGGAGGAGGAGGAAAAGGAATCCCGCATGCCCACAAACATGAGTAAATAAATATATTTATTCCTTGGAGGGGAGGGGCGTGCGTTGGCCCCGTGCCGCAGCACTACACTCGCGGCGGCAGGGAAGTGCGTGTGCAGACGCGTCGTCTCCGGCGGGGGCACTTCTCTCTCTCTCTCTTTTTTTTGTTTTTGCTTCTCTTCGCTGCCCCCTCCTGCCTTCGGCTGTTTCTCGCGCGTTTATTGGATTCCCTCTCCCACTCCTCCCCTGCGCTGCGCCCCGCTTTCTTTTCTTCCCCTCACCGCCACCGCCGCCAATCCTCTGCGCACCCGTGCGTCCCTTTAAGTTGAGCCGGCGTCTCGCTGCGCCTCTCTTTTCTGCTTTGTGTGTCTGTGTGTGCGGCTTTTCTTGCGTTCTGCCTTGCGGCAGTTTCCTCCTCCACCAACTGTGCTGGCGCGGAGGTGCATCGGTGCATGCGCAAGGTATGTATACATACATGTCTTTGCCACTGTGCTTGGCCTGCGACGTGCGGCAACGAAGGCGGGGGCGCGAGTGGTGCGGCGACGGAGATGGGCAGCCCCGAGCCCCCGTCCTCCGCTCCCTCCTCGCCGGACGATGCTGCCGCCGCTGCTGCTGGTGGGTGTATGTTTTTTTTTTCTTTGCCCCCACGCAGTGCTCTCCTTCCCGCGCTTGCCCTCCTTCTCTGTGAATACGCACATAAATACACGAGTGTCTTCCAGACACACGCACGCGCGCGTTTTGAAGCGGCGCTCTGGAGTCAAGCGTGGGAGGGCAGTGTGAGTCGCGGTTGCAGCGAGAGGTGCGGTGGCTGCGCCGCAGGGTTTTCAATGCTGCGCCACACACGTCTGTGGCCCGGTGCGGTGTCGACAGTGGCGCCCTCGCTGCTGCGCCGTGCGGTGGCGCTGCGGTGGGGGGTACTCGGCCTGCGGTGGGACGGCGACACGAACATGTGCGTCCTTGCGGATGGGCCGGCGGATGGCCTTCCACGCGGCACGCGACTGGAGATGTACGGCGCCACGGCGCGACTCGTCAGGACCTGCGCAGGCGGAAGCGGAGTGGAAGTTGTGGCGCCGGACTTCTTAACGGCCGTTGCGGGGGTTGTGGAGGCGGCGGCGTCGGAAGACATGCGGGGGGGAGTCGCGGGGGTGGGACTCGCGCCGCAGCCTCCGCCTGACGGCGTGCTTGCCGAGTGGCTCATCACCACCCAACCGCAGCAGCAGCAGACAGCAGTTCCCCTTATGGAAGGCGGGGTGGTTTTCGAATCCCCACGTGCGGCGGGGCCTCGAGTCCTTCGCGCGGCGCGGCAGACATTTGCCCAGCTGTTGGCACGGGAGATGCGGGGACGACCGTCCTCGCCTGCATCTTCCCCCGCCCCCGCCGCTGCTGCTGCTGCTGCTGCTGGTGCTGCTCAGCCAATCGCCATCCTTGACGTGAGTGACGCGGATTGTGCCTTCAGTCGTGTTGCGGTTCACGTCTGCGTGGAGGGCGGCCTAGAGCTGGAGCGGGACTTCCACGTCAGCTACGTTCCCCTCAGCGAGGCGGCGGCGGCGGCGCCGGGTGAGAAGGAAGCAAACGTCACAAGTCTCCTGCGCCTCGTGGCCCGCCCCCAGCACCGCCCAGAGAAGGAACCGCTGCGTGCGTTGCCGTCCTGCCACTTTGTTCTTGGCTGCTACACAGTCCATGGCGGACGGCCGCGAGAGGCGAAGGCGTCCCTCGGGCTCGAGCTCGCCCACGTGATTTCAAAACTGCACCGCGGTGGGACGCTGCTCGTGAATCTTCTTGAAGCTCAGCCGCCGCCGCCGCCGCAGCGGGCGCAGGCGGGGGGGCGAGAGGACGTGGCACTCCTGCGGCGAGAGGCCAAAGCCGTCGTCGCGGAGGCCCTGTCGCGCAGTAGGCGGTGGGGCGTCATCAGCGACGAGGTGTTGCCGGCAGCCGACTGCAACGACGCCGCGGTCTCCCTCGTTGTATCGCTCGACTAAGCCAGCCCCGCGGAGGCGAAGGCGACACCACGCACGGGCCTCCTCCGAAACTTTCCTCCTCGCTCGCTCCGAGAATGTGTCTTTGGTTGTCTGCTCCGCCCATCCAAATACTTTTTTCCGCCTTTGACGCCTTCTACCTTTTTCCCGCTCGCCCTTTTTTTTTTCTGCTTGACGCGTAGAGCTGCACACACTTGCCCCCAATGCTCTCCAGCACCGGCGGCTACGTGAAACGGTCGCGGGTGCTTGGACGCCACCGCGATGACGCGACGCTGTGCTCGACGCCGTGCCCGGCGCTGCGGGTGCGTGGCTTCTGCCGCAGTCACGCGCGGGAGACGTCGCTCCGCGCCGCCGCCGCCGCGGAAAAGGAGGCGGAGCTGCTCCGCAGCGCCACGGAGCTGTTCAGGCTGCAGGAGGAGCTGCTGCAGGACGGCGCGGCGACAGACGAGCGCCAACGCGCCGCCGCCATTGCGAGCATCGTGGCCGAACTGAAGCGGGAGAAGTCGTATGAGAACTGGAGCCTCGACGTCGCGGTGGCGGAGCGCATGGCGTCGCTGCGGCTTCGGCGCTGCCCCTACTCCCACAGGTGCGAGCTGCAAGCGGAGCTCCGGCAACCAAAGCGAAGGGAGAAGGTGGGACCAGGCGACGCGGCGCTGGAAGCAAAGGCGAGTTGGTTGCAAAAAAAGGCCCTTGTGGCGCGGCGGCGGCGTGCCTTCGGCGCCCTCTCGCCGCTGCAGAAGTGTGTGGCGTGTTTGCTCTGGCAGGGCTGCTTCGAGGTGCCGCTCGGCGTCGTGTGTGACGTGCGGCGTCGCGCGGAGGCGGCGGCGCTCGCGCGTGACTGCGGCGAGGTGGACGACGCGGCGGTGGCGGCGGAGGAGCGGCGGGTGGTCTCCGTCGCCGCCTGCCGCCCGTCGCTCGGCGCGGTGGACCTCTCCTCCCTCCCCCGCCTCGTCGCCTACGTGGCGCAGCACCCGGGCGCCGCCGTGATCCGGCCCGAGACGGCGGCGCACTTCACGGGCGGCGCCGCGCTGCAGCTCCCGCGCGGCGTGACGGAGAAGCAGATCGACCTCAGCTCCCCGGCCTGCGCGCACGAGTTGGTGGAGGCCGTCGTGTGGAGCCTCCGCGTGATGAATGACGAGGCCGCGCTGCAGCGGCGGCGGCAGCCGCCAGTGATGCTGCGCTCCCTCGCCGTGCGCCGCTGCGCCATGACCTCCGCCGACGCCCTCGTCAACGCCCTGCGGAAGCACCGGCTGGACGCCACCCTCCTCGCGCTGGACATGAGCGACAATCGACTGATGAGTCTGCGCTTCCTCTTCCTGCTCCGGGCGCACTTTTCCGGCCGGCTGCTGCGTCTCTCGCTCGTCGACAACCCCATCACACGCAAGCCGGAGTACCGGGAGCAGGTGCGCAAGTCGCTCCCAAGGCTTACAAGCCTCGACGGCAGAGCGATTCGTCGCCCACCGCTGGCGCTGCCGCACCCAGCGTCGGTGTCGTACACCTTCTGCACCGCGGCGCAGCCCGCGCAGGGCCGCCGGGTGATTGCCGGTGAGGAGTTGGATGCGGTGGTGGACGGGCTGGCGCGGTTCCTGTACGTGTGGGAGACGCGTCGCGTGCCGTGGACGGTGGCCGAGCTGCGGCATCAGCGACAGCAGCGGCGGCGTCGCCGCCAATTCCCCGCCGAGGAGCCGCACGTGGAGGCGGACGCGGATGACGCGGGCCCGCAGCCCCCCGAGGAGGAGCTGGACGACGACAATTTCCACCACCGCTACCTCCATCCCTCGGCAACCTTCTCCATGACGCTGCATGAGGGTCTTGCCTTCTTTGACGCCCGCACGATGCGACTCGCCACGGAGGTGGAGACGGACGACGCCTACGCAGGGATGCGTCTCTCCCCGCTGGATGTGCGGGACCTCGGGGTGTTCGACGTGGCCATGAAAAGCAACAGCCGCAACCTGTTAATGGGGCGTTCCGTGCTGCACCGCTTCGCTCGCGGCTCACTGAACTGCTACGCGGCGTACAACTACAGCCTGTACCCGCAGCGGCTGGAGGTGTGCCACCACTTTGGCGGTGCGGTGGTGTCTGTGTCGAAGATCACCGACGCCGCAGCGCCGAGCGGAGGCGGCGCCGCACCCGCAGTCTCTGAGGTCGTAGGGGACGGGGACGAGGGGCGACAGCAACCGCAGCAGCGGCGTCGAAAGAAGCGACGTTGCGAGGCAGCGCCGTCGTCTGCTCCTTCAGCGGCGGCGGCGGCGGCTACAGCGGATGCCGCGGCGCCCTTCACCCTGAACGCGCATTCGCGAAAGCCGACGTTTTACATTGTGACGTTTCACGGCGTGATGTCCTGGCGGGCGCCGAGCATGAAGCGGGCGGAGTGCGTCCTCGCCGCCTACGACCGGGTGATGACGTTCGTAGAGAACGCCCTGCCGCCAACGAACCCCGTCGAGAAGCGGCGAAGCGCGCCGCTGCTGCTCTTCAACGACCAGGTGCACCTCCGCCCCGCCGCGAAGGGCCACGTGGCGTGGTTCATGGCGCAAACGGAGGAGCGGGTGGCGCGGCTTGTCGTTGAGTACGGCCTCGAGGCCTGCGCGGACGGCGAGGCGCTTGTCCGCGCGGTGGCGGAGCGCGCCAGCAGCGATGCCGCCGCCAGTGCCGCCCTGCGCCTGCTGGTGTTTGGCCGCGACTCCGGGGGTGCCGAGGGGGAAGCGGAAGAAGAAGCGGGGCACGGCGACGGCGTTGACGCACACGCAGGCGGCGACGCGCCTGCGGCGCGCCACTTCGACATTTTCTCCCTCATCTCCGCGGAGAAGCCGGCCGCCGGGCGGGACGATGATGATGACGAGGAGGAGGAGGAGGTGGAGGAGGCGGACATCCCCCATCGCGTGACGCTCGCGCAGGTGGAGGCGGCGGTGGCCGCGATGAACAGGCGACACACCGCCGCCTTCGCCCGCCCCGCCCCGCATGGCGAAGGGGAGGCGGAGGCGGAGGCGGCCGACCCTGAAGCAACGTGTAATTGACTAAAGAAGAAGAAAACGAAAACGAAAAAAAGAAAAAAAAAGTAGTTGTGATGAAGACCTCTGAGTGTGCGTGTCTCTCCCTCCTCTCTCGCTCTCTGTGAGTAAAGTCGGGTGTTTTGGCGCCGCCGCTGTTGGCTCCCGCATCCTCCGCCGTGCTGCCACAAACGCGTGTGCGTGTGCGCGTGCCTCTCCGCTCCCATTCTGTTTCCCTCCGCTGAGTGCACGGCAGTAGATGTGGCGGCGTTGTGCAGTAGACGTCATCGCCCGCGGCAGCCGCGGCGTGGCGTCACGGGCCCCGGCGCAACCGCAACCGCGCGGCGGCACCGTGACTGCGCGCCCCGCGGCGGCACCGCGGCATCCGCAGCGCCAGCAGAGGAGTATTCCGCGGCCCGAGCCGCCGCGGCGCCGCTTCTCGTGGCGCACTTCGCCTCCGATTGTGTGGCTTATCGCCAACGCGGTGCCCATCGCGACGTACCAGCTCTTCCTCGAGGCTGGCTGCACCGGTCTCTGTGCGTGGCTGCTGCTGCGCGGCAGGACGACCGCGGCGGGCATCGAGGCGTGGCTTCAAAGCCACCATTACCCCTTCACCGGCCTCATCGACTGGGCGGGCGGGCGGCACGCGGAGGACTGGACCGTCGCCGGGCGCCGCATCGACGCCGCCACCCTCACCGCCCTGCACGTTGGGCACAACGTCGCGAACGGTCTGCTTCCGCTGCAGGTGGTGTTCTTGGCGGCCACGTACCCCGTTGTGGCGCGGGCGGCGGCGGCGGCGTCGCGGGGTCCGCTGGCGGCGCAGCTGCTGCGCGCACGGGAGCACTGCAGGGCGCTGTTTCACAAGGAGCGCGTCGAGACTCCGGTGCGTCATCCATTCGGGAAGCCCAAACGCTTCCGTCGACGGTGAGCCCGCCACGCGCCTCGCTCCACCCCGTGGGGGAAAGAAGAGTGGGAGCTGCAGCAAAACTGGGGCGTGCGGAGCCGCGCCCCCTCCCTTTTTCTTGGCGCCGCCTCCCTCACCGCGTGCACTCTTCTTCCCTCCCCCTCCTCCGCTGTCATAGCTACACCTGCGTGCGCGTGCTAGGAGTCTTTGCAAGGACAGCAACAAGGAAGAAGGCGTCTGCGTCAGCCGCCGTCTCAACCGGGCAGGAAACGGCGCCAGTCACGGCAGCGGGATAGAGCGAGAGAAGGCTGAGACCTTTGCCCATGCGGCAGTGGCGGGCGTGGGAGCCTCCCCTGCTGCTGCTGCTGCTGCTGCTGTTGCCGCTGCTCTCGGCGTGGGGGGTGGCGGCGTGGAACGTCGGCGAGATTATCCCCGTCACCCTGCACGTGCGTCTCAAGCGGATGTCGCCAAATATCGCCGTGGGCCGCGACGACGTGGACGACGTCGAGGACATGCAGGACCTGCTGCAGGGGGAGCAGTTCCTCCGGCCACTCCCGCCCGACTTCTGCCCGCGCTTCGGCATCAACAGGCGCGTGCACCAGCCCGCCAAGCGCCTCTTCGAGCGCGCACGCAAGCAGGCACAAGTCCCCGGCCACTCACTTAGCGACGTGGCCGTGCGGTTCCAGCTGGAGCGCGGGCTCAGCAAGTCCACCGCGTGGCTGCCGCTGCTGAAAAGCACCGTGCGGGAGCCGCCGTACGGGGCGCACACGCCTTCCAATAAGACGGGCCGCGACGGGCACGTGCTCCACCTGGCGGCCGTCACCTTCAGCTTCGGCTACCAGGAAAGCACCTTCAATAAAATAACGGCATTTCACGCGGAGCCGGTGTACGCCGGCGTTCAGCACGACGCGATTGAGCTGCAGTACCGCTGGGAGGAGCACCGCGCCTACAACCCGCACAGAGCCCTCAGCGTGTGCGCCTTCGCCTGCGTCTTTGCCACCGTCGCCGTCCTCTACATGATAGTCTTCGCCCCAAGCAGCCTCTCGACGCAGCTGCGGCGTGGGAAGGTCGCACTGCGCAGCCACCGGGAGTGACACGAGCGAGCCTCTCCACGCGGGCGAGAGGAAAGAGAGACGGAGAGAGGGAAGGCCCAACAGCAAGAACAAATAAAAGCCCACCAGAAAACAAAGTGTGCGCCGCCTTTCACACACGGTCCGCTAGCAAGGCCACTCCACAGTCACGACAAGAGCCACACCGCAGCCAACGTGAAACCACGGCGGCCCTCTCCAAACACACACACACACACACACACACACAGACATGCATAAGTATATATATATATATGTGCACACACCTAAACACAACAAAAAACACTCCAACATAAAAATCCTCCACACATGTCTACTTGTTTCTGTTCTCTCCCTGCGTTCCTCTGCCGTGGGCATTAGGTCTGCTACACAGCTTCTAACTGCTTTTTGAACCCGCAAGGTTAATCCAGCGCCATGGGGAAAGAGAAGACGCACCTGAACCTCGTGGTGGTCGGCCACGTCGACGCCGGCAAGTCCACCGCCACTGGCCACCTCATCTACAAGTGCGGCGGCATTGACAAGCGCACGATCGAGAAGTTCGAGAAGGAGGCGGCCGAGATCGGCAAGTCGTCGTTCAAGTACGCCTGGGTGCTCGACAAGCTGAAGGCCGAGCGCGAGCGCGGCATCACGATCGACATTGCGCTCTGGAAGTTCGAGTCGCCCAAGTCCGTGTTCACGATCATCGACGCCCCCGGCCACCGTGACTTCATCAAGACATGATCA